TAGCAAGTTTTTCATTTAACTGCTGACAGTGTGGAATGCATGTTTCATGTGGACCAGATGAAAGCTATGTAGGAGAGAGCCTGTCTGATGACAGTTTGAAGGGACTTTGCACATGGTAGCCATCTGGACTGGCAATGAGACCTTAACCTAGCTTGTGTGGTGGTGACCTGGGGAGGAGCTAGGGTAGAAGGACTTGTCAACTGGGAAGCCCCAGAGTGCTTGGTCTATTAACAGGGGTTGCACTGAGAGATCCCTAGTAGTGGGACTGGTTAGTCTCTGGAGCAGAGCCTTGGAGAGAACCCCACAAAGCATGGATCCTAAACACCCCCGAGGCCTGAAAGAACTAGCACCTCATTGGTGCCAGTCAATAAAGAACTTTCCTGCCCCTGTATTTCTTCATGTCCTTCCCCTGACTTCAATTCTGGAAGTGCCAGAGACTGGAGCAGGTGGGCAAAGGACTGGCAGGAGGAAGATAGTCAGAGAGGAACAGAAAGGAACAGTCAGAGGAAGACAGTAGCCAAGCACACCATCTCTTTCCCACAGCCGCAGTCAGCACAGAGCAGGCACTAGCTGAGGAAGGGGAGAAACCTCACCATTACGGGTAACTGCACATTTTTATGACTACACATCATAGAATATTTCAGTTATAAAAATGAGGAGTTGGGGGGATTCCTTGGAGGTCCAGTGGTTAGGACTCTGTGCTTCCACTACAGGGGACACGGGTTTGATCCCTGCCCCTAGTTAAGGAACTAAAATTCTGCATGCTGTGTGGCATAGACAAAAAAAATGATAGAGGACTTTTTATTATTTGAGAGTGAGCAGAAAATTGGTGGGAAGGGCCTGCAATTGCAACCAAGGGCAGGAAAAGGACAAGCCCTACAGATGAGTCCTGCAGGCCCACTACGAGACAAAACACAATTGGTTAACAACTGTACCTTACATGACCTATAATTTCAACATTGTACAACTCAAGGTACTGTTTCCTGTTTTAGGCTTAGGAGATGTGAGGATAAAAGGCAGTCTCTAAACTCAAGGAGTGCATCCTTGAGCAAGAAATAGGTAAATAGACAATAGCTAACTAACATTTATTCAGCCCTTACTAGCAAGTCCCAGACACTCTACTAAGGACTTTATATATGTTAATTAATTTAAACCTCACAACAACCTTACAAGGTGAACAATATTATGATTCAGATGTACTAATGCTGTGAAAAAGGCACAGAGAGGTTAAGCAACTTGCCCAAGGCCATGCAGTAAGTAGCAGTGCCTGGAGAAGTCAGGTCCTCTGCCCCTGGAGCTCAGAGGACAAGCATGCTACTATACTGTTTCACAGAACAGGAGGAGTTACAATGGCTCCAGTGGGGCATCTGCCTGGACTGAACCAGGGCAGGCATCCTGGAGGAGGTGCATTTTTTTCCCCAAAGAATGCCATTAGAAAGATGATCAGGAATTTGAAAAGGGAAGCACTAGAGAGTTTCAAGAAGAGGGAAAAGCCTGTGCCCCAAATGCATTAGAGAGTGGGGCTTCAAGCCATTTACTGGGGTTTGGCTGGAGAGAAGCTTGCTGAAGGCTTGACTTTGGTTCATAGATTTTGTATGTACCTAACACAATGCTTTTCAAATAATAGATTCTCCATAATTGCCTATTTGAGTAGGGCACCCAAGAAAAAGTGTAGCATGCATAGGTAATTCTGAAACAATGATTATGTCAATAATGCATTGCCCTTCCCTCCAAAGGAATCTAGTTGGTAAACCAAAACTACTAATTCAGAAAAGGGGGGTCTGCTGAGGGATGTAAGGTTTGGCTTGCCTTGTCACCAAATATCTCTGGAGTACTTTGCTACTGTGGTTTATTCACCTTATATTTATCCCCCTAATGTTATATGTTGGAAAATGCTTAGAGACTACCTTAGGAGAAGGAAGACCAGGCATCTGAAGTCCGTGTACACCACTGACAAAGTTCAATGACATTTGTTAATACTTGATTAAATATTGCTAGGCATTTGTGATCATTAATCTGTAACTAATGATTACCACTGATGTGTGTTTAAAGAGTCACTCTTACACAACTTCTGAGTGTGGGAGAGAGAAGAATGATGAGATGTGACCTTCAGAACGGGACTTTGTGCTCCCTGTCCTGTAATTCCTATGTGGGCTCTGGGAGGATACAGCTCTCTGAGGTTATAACTTAACTAAGAGGGAGAAATACTTCTTAATCTAGGGAATCACATGTTTCTTTCAAGCAATTTTCAGATAGTGGATAATAATTTACAAAAAAGGTCGTGATTAATAACAGTAGTAGCTGTTGTTTACAGAGAGTTTATTGTGGGCTCTGTATTATAGTGTTTTATTTTAAAATTTTGTTTATAAAAATTTTTATTGGAGTACAGTTGCTTTACAATGTTGTTAGTTTCTACCTTACAGCAAAGTGAATCAGCTATGTCATGTCATGTGAAAGTCGCTCAGTTGCCCCATGAACTGTAGCCCGCCAGGCTCCTCTGTCCATGGAACTTCCCAGGCAAGAATACTGGAGTGGGCTGCCATGGCTTCCTCCGGGGATCTTCCTGACCCAGGGATAGAACCCATGTCTCTTACGTCTCCTGTGCCGGCAGGCGGGTTCTTTACCACTAGTGTCACCTGGGAAGCCCAAATCAGCTATACATATACATATACCCCTCCTTTTTGGATTTCCTTCCCATTTAAGTCACCACAGAGCATAGAGGAAGAGGAGAGTTCCCCGAGCTATACAGTAGGTTCTCATTAGTTATCTATTTTATATATAGTATCAATAGTGTATATATGTTGATTTCAATCTCCCAATTCATCCCACCCCCTTTTTCCCCCTTGGCATTTTAAAATATCTAAAACAAGAGCAACAACAGTAATAAAGCAAGCCAATGTTCTGGGAAACAATCATGTTTGGCATATAATGTTTTGAAGGACCCAAGAAGGAGCCAAAATTGTTTATTAGATTTTAGAGTCTCATGGTTGTATTGGTCTAGCCCAAGTATGAGGAGGCCTTGTTGTATCAGTGTCAAATCTTAGAATCTGCAGACAGGAAACAGATTTACATTCTGTTTCTGCCTGCCATTCACCAACTATGTGCAATATTTTGGGTTATTTTTTCTTTTTTTTGGAGGGTTATTTTTTCCTTTGGGGCTATGTTTCATAGTCTTTCACATTTAATCCTCATCAATATTCTGAAATGGGAATTTGCATTTCCACTTTGCTTAAGCTTAGACAGGTTATGTTTATCCAAGATTATGCAAATAGCACCAGGGTCTGGATCCAGAACTTTGCTCATAACCATTATGCTAAATGCTACTTATCCAGGGCCATTGTCTGCAGGGAACCATTGTTGTCATTGTTTGGTCGCTGAGTTGTGTCTGACTCAGCAAACCGGAACTTCCCAGAAACCTTATACCATATCCATTCACCAAGGTGCCTCACTCTGGCAGCATGGAGGAAATTGGGATTATCTGTCCTGCTGTCCCATGTAACAGACTCTTCTAAAGTCTGGTCATAAACCAAACCCCCTCTCAGGATAAGTCTCTAAAATCAGTATGTGTGAGTTTCTTCCTTCACCAATATCTGGGTTTTAGGGCAAAACAGAGGGGGACCTCAATATTTCTATTACAATAATTCCTCCCCTACCTCTTTGAGGTCATTAAAGTTTTCCCCATAGAAACATTGTTATGAGTCAGTTATATATTCCTTTAGTACCAGGTGATTGTCTGTTTAGCCCCAAGATTAGTAGCAAGCCTGAAGCTGGCCCACCATTTATAACATTGCTTCTTTGCAAAATTATATATTGAAGTCTCCCTCAATCCATAACACATTTAAAAATTAGAATATCTTGTTAATTTGAGATTAGGTTCATCAGATTTATTTCATTTTTTATTGACTAAGATTTGCAAACTTTGTTCTTTACATCTTCCTTTCTTAACAGTTCTTTTCATTCCCCAGAGAAGTTTCAAAAATTCATACTCCACTGCCTTTAGGGCCACTTATTAGTAACAGAAGAAGTGTAGCTTTACTACATTTTAGTAATCCTCATTTGACCTCAAAAGATGGAGTTTTGCCAATTGTGAGTATATTAAAAAGAATGTGCTATTGAATCAAAAGCATTTACAAAGGGGAATTTCTAAAACTGCTCTGTGTGGATAGTTTAGGAGGTGGATGGATTATTATTGTGATGATTTTTAAAAAAAAATTAATTAATTTTATTTTTGGCTGTGCTGGATCTTCATTGCTGATGCTGGGCTTTCTCTAGTTGCGGTGAGAGTGGCTACTATCTGATGCAGTGCACAGGCTTCTCATTGCGGTGGTTTCACTTGTTGTGGAGCCAGGGCTCTAGATGCATGGGCTTTACTAGTTGTGGTGTGTGGGCTTTTAGTTACCCCACAGCACATGGGATATTCCTGCAGCAGGGATCAAATCCATTCCCCTGCATTGGCAGGCAGATTCCCAACCACTGGACCACTAGGGAAGCCTGTAAATGATTATCTTGAATGGTGACAATATTTCTTTCTTTCTTTTTTTTTTTTTTTTGAAGGGTGACAATATTTTTTCATGTGTATAATTTCTGGGCTAGTTCCTAAAAAAGAATTCTGTCAAATTTCCTTATACTGTCACTTCCTTTAAGTTATTGAATTTCAGTTCACTTCTGATTCAAATGACCTGTAATTTAATGATAAAATTCAAAGCCTATCCTTTTTCATGACAGATCTGATGGTTTTGAGCCCTATGTGATCACTAAACTTGAATCAGACAAGCATGATAAAACTTATATGATAACATCAGCATTTATAAGTACATAATAAACCCTGATACCTGTATCGTGCTTCAGTCTTTCAAAGTTATTTGGTACATATTATTTCTGAGGGTGAATATAAAGTTGTCTAGAATCATGAGAAAGTATTTCCAATTACAAATCAGTAACTTCCAGTAGAACCCGGAAGAGCAGGCATGACTCTACTCTCAGCAGTAGAAATGACTCACCAGGAAATGACTCGAGAGGTAAATGAGGATTCAGGAAGTGTCCAGTGCAAACCATGACAGCATCAAAGACAGCTCTGTCCTGCCTCCCCTCTGTCTCTGTGACAACATCCCATTGACCAGTTTCAGAGAAGTCAGGACGCTTTGTTATGCTGCGCACGGTGGTCTGAAAGCAAAAGACAGACACTCGTTTCCCACCAGTCATCTTGGGACTTCATGCAATGACTGTATGGTAACCATGTTTGTTATTTCAAGTGGGTCAAGTGAGTCTCACGTTAGAAGGCCTTTCAATATTGGTTTATCTTCTCCCTAGAAAAGTTAAATAACTTGTGCAAAGTCTCAAAAGTAGTCATAAAGATTAGGACCCAAAAGATCTGAATGACTGCACTGCAAGGAAGAAACATTCAGGTTTTATTTCTGGTGAGAAGATGAGTTAAATTACTGAATGTTGGAGAAATTTAGGAAAATGAGTTTTGACCCATTATAATTTCTGTGGTTCAGACTTCTAGTTATTTCTTTCTAATGGGTTTCATGAACAAAATCCATTTTTCCTTTCTTCTGAAAAAAATTCTAAATTTCATCCTGAATGAGACTTTGGATTTAGAGAAGGAACCAGGAAATTCAGTATTTTAGTGACTTCAGTAAAACATGAACAACAGGATTATTATCTGCCGTATTCATGTAGAGAGAAAATTAGGAAGAAGTTTTCTTAGGCATCCCATTTCAATTAGATTGGTGAATGGGCCAGCCCCTATTCATTGACCTTCCATAACCCAAGCCATCTCACCTTAAACCGAATGTATTTCAGAAGGTCGAAGTACTCAGCAAACTCTTGGAGGTAGTTCCAAAATTTTTCTTGGTTCATGAAATTAGGATAATCTTCTTGGAAAGGGAAGTCACTGTAACATGACATTTCTTTGCAGACATTTGTCACTAGTGACTTGTAGACCCTAGTCATCCCATCTTTAGATGTTTCCTGTGTAAAAGCACAGTTAACTTGATGGGGTGGGCTGAGGGGGATAGGAAGAAGAGAACAGAGATCACCAGCAGCTAGCATTCCATGTGTAATTCCAAAGAGTTTATGGAAAATTTAGCATTGGATCCCCTTGCTATAGATATCAAAAATCACTGGTGGGGTTGGAATTGTTAAATATAATATCTTCATCAAACTACAAAGAAGCTAACAACATTTAACAGGGCTCTGCAGGACTAACACTGTCTTTAAACAGTTCCATGAACCTGGGCCCATGGTCCATCTTGCTTATCTTCTTCTTCCCTTGCCATGATTACTCCCTCCTCTTGGGCTCTGGGCCTCTTCTTCTTGCCTTTGCTTAAGGAATTCCTCACAAAGTTTTCTAGTTATTGTCTATGTATATGTTCAATCACTCTCTCTTTATTGAGTCCTTCCCATCCACACTTAAAATACTGAAGACTCAAAATTTCAAAACAACCCCCCCCCTTTCAACTTATATTGAAGGAGGAAACAGAACAGGCTCCATCTTGAAAGCAGGACTCCATCTTGCACCGGACTGTGGACTCTGAGCTATATGCCCAGTATCTATGGGAACGACTTACCAACTGGAAAACCAGACCCCCAGATAGAAGAGCCCCAGGGCTCATACCTAGACTCTCCATGCCTAAAAGAATACCCTAATTATCTGTGAAACTGAATAGAATCATAAATTCTATTATGCTTATTGGGGTATGACCACAGGCCTATTGATAATTGTCTACTGTTAACTACCTAGGCTTAAGGCATATGGATGACGGGTTAACTTTGATTGTATCTTTCTTTTTCTTTGTTCAGACTAGTTTCAGGGAATTTGGGAAGGTGGGTTTGGGCACATATACTTAGGGTATATAAGGTTTTCACAAAAACTGGTCAGGGTCCTGGGCTAAGAGGAGACTCTGCCTTGGGCCCACCAGTGTAATAAACTGCACTCCACTATTGCATTGTCCTTCTGAGTGAATTTTTTTCCTGGAATGTGTGGCTACAACAATATCCTCTTACAACCATGTCTCTCTCTGTCTCATTTCAATCTTCATGAAGGGGTCATCACACACTGACAGACTCTGTTTTCTCCTGGACTCCTCAACTCCTTGTCTAATCTTGGTCTTTGCCACCCAAAAACAAAACAAAAAGTCCTATATTAAAGACACTAATGAACTTGTTCAAAGCTAATCTCCATTTCTTCTTCAAGTCTCTTTCTTTGCCATAACATTCTCTAAGAAGCTTTCCATAGCCCTATAGATCTTCACAAGGTAGCCATTGTACCTGCTGCCCCAACCTAGTACCCTGTACTTTGAGCACATAACTGATCACACTGCATTGCAAAGATCTGTTTACAGTTTCTGTTCCCCACTAGATTCTAAGGAGGGTTGGGGCCCTGTCTATCTTGGTCCCTGTGTGTCCTGGGAGAGGGACATCACAAATACTTGAATGAATGAAAATGAATATTACCATTGCATTTTTGGAAAATAAATATGTGTATGACTAAAAGAAATTACATCAAAATTTAAATAGTGCTAATTTATTTAGTGCTCATGAGTATTGATATTATATTTAATTTATATTTTTTCTTTTTTTTTTTTGGCCATGCCTCATGGCATATGGGATCTTAGTTTCCCAATCAGGGAATGAACCTAAGCCCCTTGCAGTGGAAGTGTGAAGTCTGAATCACTGGACTGTGAGGGAAATCCTGTATTTTTCTTTTAACGAATATTATTTTTTATTTTTAATTTTTTTTATTGGAGTATAGTTGCTTTACAATGTTGTGTCAGTTTCTGCTGCACAACAAACAGAATCAGTCATATATACACACACACCCACTCTTCTCTCGATTTCCTTCCCATTTAGGTCATTACAGAACATTGAGTAGAGTTCTCTGTGCTATACAGTAGCAATATTATTTTCTAAAATTAGTTTATATCACTTTATAATAGGAGAAGGAAACCAAGTCAACCATAGGGTCAAATAGCAGAAGGTACACAAACCAGACGGAATATTTTTTTCCATACTGACATTTGGTGGCTTGATAAGGCCCACAGTACATCAGAAAAAAAATTTTTTTTTTCCCTAGTACACGATGGGCTTCCCTGGTGGCTCAGAAAATTCTTTCCCTGGTGGTAAAGAATCTGCCTGCAATGTGGGAGAACTGAGTTCTATCCCTGGGTTGGGAAGATCCCCTGGGAGGGCATGGCAACCCACTCCAGTATTCTTGACTGGAGACTCCCCATGGACAGAGGAGCCTGGCGGGCTACAGTCCATAGGGTCACAAAGAGTCGGACATGGCTGAGTGACTAAGCACAGCACAGTACACTATAATCCTAGAGTTGTGGTTATTTACATACATTTGCTTATTCTGTTTTCTTCACCATCCATCCAAGACTGGCAAATGCCACTTCCTCCATGCAGGCTTCCCGCATTCATACCAGTGTGAAGTACCTCCCCAGCCCTGAGCGCCTGCTAAATGCTGCTCTTCTCTTCCCCCTGAAGCATTTACTATTTGGGCCTCCATCTTTTGACACCTTATACATTACCGGGGCAGATCCCTTTATTCCCACTGAAGACCCTGATATTCCCAGTAACCAGGACCAATTCTGGCCAGAGGCATGTGTGAGAGGGTAGCAGGCAGGAAGGCTAGGGGTCTCCAAATGGAGGAAATAGGCTGTAAATGTCAGATGTCTTATCTCTCTCTTAAGTGGCAGGAGGAAACAAACTATATGTGACAGGTTTTTTCCCTTTCTCTATACAAAATTGAAAGGAGATTTCCTTTAAAATTCTGTGTTGCCATGACAACACCTGGTTCCACCTGAACTTCACTTTTTTCAAACCTTGAGCTAACCAATGCGTTTTTCTTGCGGAAATATTTTTCTTAAGTTATGTTAATGAATTATATTTACCCTAGACTCTGTCTTTCTTCAAGTCAGTTTGCCTAAGGCTCAGAACCTACGTGACAAACCAGTATGTTTTATTCGTGCAAATGTTCTCTTAAGCTATGTTAATGAGACTATGTATTTGCCTGGAAACCTACCTTTCTTCAAGATTCATGCCAATCATTTTATGGCCTGGGACAACTCACCTTGTGCCAAAGTTATCTCAAAATGCATGTTGTGGGTGAGGGGCCTGGTACCAGTCTCTGAGTCTTGAGACATTTCCTTTCTCTAACTAATATATAACTTCCTGCTAAAGACTAGCAGGGGGGCACTCTTTCTTCCCCCTTCCGATGTCTATGTCAGAAGCTTTCTCTCTTTCTTTTATACTTTAATAAAACTTTATCACACAAAAGCTCTGAGCAATCAAGCCTCGTCGCTGGCCCCGGATTGAATTCCTCTCCTCTGAGGGCCAAGAATCTCGGCGTCTTTCACTGCTCAGCAACAACCTTTCATATGGCATTTAGCCATTTCCAGCCCTACTTCCTGATGCTCAAGTCACCTACTGGCTGGCCAAACCTTGAGCATACGCCCTAGGATGCACATTCCACTCTTAAGAAGAGCAATAGTGCCTGGGTTCTTCTTCTGATAATGTAAAAACCACCCCCTAGACCTAACAAGGTCTGGATTCTAGCCTCTCCCTTGCCAATTCTCTTCCAAAAGACATGAACAATGCCTTGGGGCTGGGGCTCCACCCCCCTGATGCCAACTTCTGTCCTTCTTAAGGTGCCATCTGCTTCACATTCAGCAATGAGATTCAGCTTACCTAATGTGACACTCTGCTACTTTGTCTTAGAATGTTCATGGTCCAGAAATCATCGTAACTTCCAATCCTATGTTTGTGTATCAGACTTAACTCTTTCTTCCTCTTTCCTCCAAATTCTCTTGCCCCTATCCTGCCAATTCTCCAAGTGCATCACCTATCAGACTGCATCCTGCATGAGGTCAGCAGGACACCATACACAAAGTTGTGATGCTGCAATGAGCTGCTCCCTTACTGATCACCATGTGTGCATGCTCAGTCATGTCCATCTCTTTTCAGACCCCATGGACTCCACTGTCCACCAGGCTCCAGCCCATCAGGCTCCTCTGTCCATGGGATTTCCCAGGCAGAATACTGGCATGGGTTGCCATTTCCTTCTCTGAGGGATCTTCCCTGACCCAGGGGTCGAACCCTCATCTCTTTCTTTGGTAAGCGGATTCTTTACCACTGAGCAACCAGGGAAGCACTTAATGCTCACCAAGATGGCAGGGACAAAGCAAATGGCCAGATTATGGTTGGTGGAGGTGGGAGGGTATGAACTACGCACAGTAAACTTCCACAGTCCGCCAATGTCACTACTTCTTTCAAAGCAGATGGGCTCCAGGTCTTCATCTAAGCAGCATTTGATGGAGGACAGGCCACTCACACCAGCTCCGATCACTGCAACTCGCTTGGCCATGGTGTGTTCTGTATGATACAGATTAAGCAGAGCTTCTTTATATGACAAGGCTAGAAGGGAGCCCTTGTCACAGAATTCAACTTTCACAATGATATAGATACCCTCCTTTTTTCTCTGAGCTGAGGCAGAATCATATTTTGGCTAAATGTGAAGGCTCTGAAATCAGACTGTTTCAGTTTGAATGCTGGCTCCATTTATTTACAGTATGATCTTGGGCTAGTTGTTTATCCTTTCTGTGCCTCAGTTTTCTCATCAATACAATGAGAGTGGAAATAATATTGCCTATCTAAAATAGGCATTGTCCTGAAATTAAATGACTGAGATATGTTGGAAAGGTTGTAGAAGTATGTCTGCTACATAGTAAGTACTCAGTTAAATTTTGCTCTTATTATTATCTAGTTTAGCCAAGACCTAGCACCAAATATTTAATCAGCATTCATTCCCCACTTCTCTAATGACACCTTCTTTTCCTCTCTTCTTTCTGGAAAAGGCAGCTCACACAGATAAAATTTATCAACATTTGGGAACACATAGACAGACACACCTGTTGCTTCCTTTGGATTGAGGAGTAAAAGGTCTTGATCCCCTTAAGATTTTATATTCCCTCAGTATTAAAAACACTTTGCTATCACCTAACCCTTCTAAAATCCTGGGAACTGCAACCAGCAAAAATGTTTATTTTTATTCAAAGCATCTAAAATCCTAAAGAGTAGCTAGTTATGGGTCATGTCCTGCCAGCAAAAAAGATACTACATGAATTGAGGGGAAGTTCTTAACTTTGAACAATGAAAGCTTAACTGACCATAATACAGAACTAAGTCCCCAAGGAAATCCATATGGCACATTCTAGAGACCAAGATGAGATCACATGGAAATGGGGATGTTATACTTGTCAGGAAAGATTGGAGGAAGCATGAAGGTATTATGACAATTTATATCAGGTTTTAAAATTGTAGTTTTGGGCTTCTGCAGATATCAACATACATTTTTTTTTTTGATCAGATGGGTTAATACTAAGTTAATTCCAGCAAATCAGGTTTATGTCACATGGAGGGCTTTGAAGTGTCAGGTGGACTCAGGTGTAACTGCTGAGTTTTTGAACATGACTTAAGGCCAGTCTGCTAGTAAGACGCTGAGTCGAGAGAGACTCTAGATATCTGAGTATGAGTCTGGATGTGCACATCTCACTGGGGTGAGAGTCTGAAGTGTCCTGTGATTCCTGTTACTGAGCCTCTTCCCTCATTTGAGCTCAGGTTTGCTGCCATGCTTTCTGGTTGGGTTTGCAGGTGGGGGGTTTATCTTCAGGGCTTTGCAGTTTCTCTCTAGCCAAATCAGAGCCCCCAGGCACAAGAAGAGTGTCAGTAAAGGAGGTGGTTGGGGGAAATGGGCTCTGGATTGGTTGGTTTGGATTCAAAAATCACCCTCCCAGGAGGGTGGTTTACTACCTCAAGGAGCTGGCTAAGCCAGGGAGCAGCAGTCCCTTAGGCATCAGCAAAGCCTTAACAGTCAAAGCATCAAAATACAGAAAATAAAGAGGTATGGTTAATACAAGTGAGAAAGGGGAAAGCGTTGGGAAGAAAATAAAAAATAAAAGGACCCCTAGGCACAAAGACAAAGGTAGTTAGTGACTTTACAGAGGGCAGAAGAAGACTTCTGAGCCCTTGGACCCCTCAAGGGTCCCAGTTACCTGGTTCCAGAGGGACTTGCAGGAAGGATCAGAGGGCTTTTCCAGGCTTGCCTGTTTCAAAATCTTACTTGCCATCCTTCCCTTTGCAAGGTTGAGAACTTCCTGCCTGGCTTCATTATTTATAACAAAATTTACACTCTTCCCTCCCTGAGACTTTTGGTTTATTTAGGAGTCTCTTTTTGATTTTGGTAGAGTTGAGTAGTCTGAAGTAAGAATGGACCCTGGAGGCAGCAAAACTGGGTTTGAACTCTGTCTCTGCAACTGATGAGCCATGTGCCCCCCAAACAACCCACTTACACACTTCAAGATGTACTGTTTGAAAATAAGAAACACAGTCACATGGAAGGATTGTTTGAGTCTGAAACTGTGGTAATAATTACACAAAACTGCCTAGCACCAAATATTTACTTAGGATTCATTTCCCACCTCCCTAACTATTCTCTCCTTTCCTCTCTTCTTTCTGGAGAAGATATCTCACACAGATAAAATTCATCAGCAATTTGGAAACACATAGGCAAACACACCTATGGCTTCCTTTGGTCTAGCTAGCTAGTAAAAGGTCTAGATAGCTTTTATTTTTTATTTTTTAATTTTTTTTCCATTTATTTTTATTAGTTGGAGGCTAATGACTTTACAACATTGCAGTGGTTTTTGTCATACATTGAAATGAATTAGCCAAGGATTTACATGTATTCCCCGTCCCAGTCCCCTCTCCCACCTCCCTCTCCACCCGATCCCTCTGGGTCTTCCCAGTGCACCAGGCCCGAGCACTTGTCTCATGCATCCAACCTGGGCTGGTGATCTGTTTCACCCTAGATAATATACATGTTTCAATGCTGTTCTCTTGAAACATCCCACCCTCGCCTTCTCCCAGAGTCCACAAGTCTGTTCTATACATCTGAGTCTCTTTTTCTGTTTTGCATATAGGGTTATCGTTACCATCTTTCTAAATTCCATATATATGTGTTAGTATACTGTAATGGTCTTTATCTTTCTGGCTTACTTCGCTCTGTATAATGGGCTCCAGTTTCATCCATCTCATTAGAACTGATTCAAATGAATTCTTTTTAATGGCTGAGTAATATTCCATGGTGTATATGTACCACAGCTTCCTCATCCATTCGTCTGCTGATGGGCATCTGGGTTGCTTCCATGTCCTGGCTATTATAAACAGTGCTGCGATGAACATTGGGGTGCACGTGTCTCTAGATAGCTTTTAATCAGAAACAAATGGCCTCCCCCGATAAGAACACATACATTTCCAGGGCACGAGGGAGAAGTCTGGAATTGGCAGATCTCGCTGTGCTCTGCTTTTGCAATAATAAGATGAAAGAAATAGTTGTTAAGTGATCTGGTTCAAATGCAAAATGTGCTGCAGTGAATAGACTAGCAGCAAATTAATTCACTCCACATGTGTACTCTATGTAACTCTAAGGGCAGATACTGAGCCAAGTTTTGGGGCCCCCCGAATGATTAAGAATCAGTGAGTAAATAACAGTAATAAATACAGACCCAGTGACTATCCACAAGAAGATGCCACTATATAGACAGAGGCTGACACGCATAATATCAGGCAATATGTCTCGTAATAGCAGCATGCTCTGGGTACAAATGCTTGCAGACACTTTTGGGCTGCTTAGCTATGCCTGGAGACCCAGCTGGAGACAGGTACTGGGCTGTGTTTTTCCTGAGCAAAAACACCCAAGTGCCAAATGATTGATGCCCTAAATAGATGTAAATTGAAAGGCAGGGGAGAATACCGCAGGCCTGACGGGCCAGGAGGACAGAAGGTGTGCTAAGCTCTTTGTAAACTCTAAGAGTGTGCTATAAACGTAAGGTCCATTGTAGGTCAAAGGTTGCTGATATTTTAGTTCCTTAATAGAAAAAGCCCTAATCTACTGAGTTGGATTTTTGAACAAGAGGAAAACCCTATCCCATGCCTGACACACCATAAAATGTAGCAGTCAATTTTGAGACATGGAGAGACTTGGATGATTAGCAAATCATACAGTTGATTATGACTTATATGAGTGTGGACTTCGATCTGTTTATATTTCTTATTATATCACTCTACCAGTGTTCTTCCTTTGCTACTGTATTTCCAAATGTGACACTTGTGGAATATTTTGTGTTTCTCAGTGACGGGCAATTCCGTCTCATCCAAAAGATGAAATCAGAAAAGAGCCTGGAATCACAGACAGTCCCACAGTTCTGTTATTCTCACCATATCTTCCTTCCGGGTGGCTTCTCCCTTTCATAACTTTGTTTCCTTAAGAAGTTCCTTCGCTTCCTGGTTTTCGCCCTAATTCTGCTGCCTTAACCCTAATCAAGAGACTCTCCAAAGAGAGGAACACACTTATCTCTAAGGAGTGCACTCACTCACCAAGGGGAATATTTACCCTCTGTGAAAGCAGCTTCTGGAAACATTTCCCCATTAAAAGAAAAAAATCCAGGAAACTTACCTTGCTGGCACAGAGCAGGTACTTTTACAAATTATTTCTCAAAGCCAATAGCCAATGACAGTGTTTGTCTTTAAAACAAAACAAAACAAAAATTCCAAACGCTAACTCTTTGCTCTAAAAGAAAATAAAAAATAAAGGAATGCTGACTTTAATCAAAGTGCTCTTGGTTTAAAACAAAAACCTGCCGTTTTTCCTGTCAGGCTGACGACAGCTGAAAATATACTCCCTGAGGGAAAAGAAAGTTGTGTAGGACACCAGTTGAAACTTCCGTGATCTCGAGGGAGGGCTCAATGACGAATTAGAATAGAGTTGTCGGATTGGAAAGCCACAAGCGACTTCTGCCCCTTTCCCCCACCCTCCTAAACGTCACAGTTCCGCCGGAGTCTAAACTTAAAGGGGAGCACGTGGTGAGCGACTGTTCTTCTCACGGTAGCCTTTAGAGGGCGCCAAATCAGCCCAAACCACAATCCCCAGTGAATCGGGCGTTCTGCTTAACTAAATTCTGACTCTTGAATTAGTCTCTTGAACTATTATAGGAGCGTCCATAGGAGAAGGCCAATTAGGTGATTGTTGTGTCATCAAGTTCTCCCAAGTAGGGTTAGTTCCCTAACCCTAAAAGTGTGATTTCAAAATTCAGGACTTATAAGGAATTTAAGGAGCTTCGTCTTTTCAGAAAAGGTCAGCAGAGGGAGCTGGTAACACATATTTGAAAAAGCTTAAAATTGGTTTTAGATGTTAGCCTAGGGCACAAGAAGAGAAATAATTACAGAAGCACTGACAATAATAGAATAATAGAATCCTAAACACCTTCCACTGAGTGCCTGGAATTCAGTGTCAAAGACCATCTTAGCCTCACTTAACATTTTCTAGACCAGTGGCGCAAATGCGCCAGAAATCCTGATTCCAGGAATCAGGAAGGTAACCTAAATGAGGGAGGAGGGCCTGGACAAGATCTGATTGGAAAGCACTTCCCCCATGTATTAGGTTTAACTAAATGGCGTTATTTGAGAGCATAAGCCCCAAATTGTAAGGGTTTAGATTCCTTTTAATAGAAACTACAAATTTTTGTATAAAATCTTCTGTTGGCAACAAACTAATTTTTATTTTGAAAAATATTAAGCCCAGAGGAAAGTTGAAAAAACAATTTGGTTAATGTGCATCAACATATCCCTCACCCGTTTCATCAACTAGCAATCTCTTGACACATTGGCATTTTCTTCATCTCTCTTTCTCTTTCTCCACACACATGTACCCAGAGACACACACACATACACCTAAACACACACATCTGAAAGTCGTCTTCAAACATCAGGATGCCATCAGAATATTTCAGCATATATTTCACAAAAGTAAGGGCATTTTCCCACAGAGTCGTTATCATTACCACATCTAAGTCAATATAACTTCAGTATCATCCAACATACAGTCTACTTTCAAATTTCTCCATTTATCCCCAAAAGTGTTCTCATCCAGTGGTGTACTGGAGCTGGTATGCACAAAGGGAATATGTATGTCTTCCAAGTTCAGTGATAGCTTGGCATTACACATAGTAATGCTTGACAAAATAGCTTGACATTGTTCACAGTGGGGATGTTTACATCACGGAAACTGGCAAACACTACAAATTTGGGATGTCCCCCACCCCCAGCCATTTGTTAAATATTTACCCTCTCGTTTTTGGCAAATGGTTTTATTGGGGCCTAATTGATATACAAAAAACCCCTGTATATATTTAATGTATATAATTTGATGAATTTGGACATATGCATGCATCTGTGAAACCATCACAGCTCAAGGTAATAAACACATTCATCCTCCAGAAGTCTCCTCATGGACCTTTGTTTGTTTTTGGTTAAGAATATTTGACATGAGATATACCCACTTGCTGCTGTGCTGTGTTCAGGCACAAAGTAGTGTCTAACTCTTTGTAACCCCATGGACTGTAGCCTACCAGGCTTCTCTGTCTATGGAATTTTCCAGGCAAGAATACTGAAGTGGGTTGTCATTTCCTCCTACAGGGGATCTTCCCAACCCAGGGATTGAAACCGAGTCTCCTGCGCTGGCAGGCAGATTCTTGACTACTGAGCCAGCTGGGAAGCCATACACCCTCTTAACAAATCTTTAACAAATTTTTGAAATGCACAATACACTATTGTTAACTCTTGGCATTACATTGAACAGCAGATCTCCAGAATTTATTCATCTTGCATAACTGAAAGCTTATATCCATTGAACAACAACTCTCCATTTCCCTCTCCCTCCACTCTCTGGCAAGCACCATTCCACTGTTTCCTTCTATAAATTTAACTATTTTTGAGTACCTCATATAAATAGAATAATACAGATTTGTATTTTTGTGACTGGCTTATTTCACTTATAGTAATGTCTCCAGGTTCATTGATGCTGTCCCATATTACACAATTTCTTTTCTTTTTTAAGAGCTGAATAATATTATACTGTATGTATATACCACATCTCTTTATTCATTCATCTGTCTGTGGACATTTAGGTTGTTCCCATATCTTGGCTATTGTCAATAATGCTGCAATGAACCTGGTAATGCAAATATCTTCTTGAGATCCTGATTTCAATTCTTTTGTACAAATACTGAGAAGTAGGATTGCTGGATCATATGGTACTTCTCGTTTTAATCTTTTTGAGGAACCTCCATACTATTTTCCATAGCAGCTGCACTATTTTACATCCCCACCTACTGTGTAGAAGGGTTCTGATTTCTTCACATCCTAACACTTATTATCTTTTATTTTGCTTTTGATAACAACAATCTTAACAGGTATGATGTGATATCTCATTGTGGTTTTGATTCACATTCCCTTGATAATTAGTGAAACTGAATACTTTTTAATGTACCCGTTGGTTATTTGTGTATCTTCTTTAGAGAAATGTCCATTCAAGCTCTTTGCCCACTTTTGAATTGGGTTATTTGTACTTTTATTGAGTTGTAGAAGTCCCTTGTGTATTTTGGATGTTAACCCCTTACCAGATGTATGGTTTGCAATGTTTTCTCATTCTGTAGGTTCTCTTTTCATTCTGTTGCTTCTTTTGCTGCTCAGAGACTTTTAGCTGGATGAAATCTTGCTTGTCTATTTTGTTTTTGTGCCTTTGTGCCTTTGGTGTCATGTTCATCGTTAAGAACAATGTCAAAAAGAACCAACCAAACAAAAAAGAACAACATCAAGAAGCTTTTTCAATATGTTATCTCTTAAAAGAGTTTTATAGTTTCAGTTCTTACATGTAAGTATTTAATACATTTTGAATTGATTTTTTAGCATGGTGTAAGAGAATGGTCCAGTTTTATTAGCATGTGAATGTCTGATTTTCCCAACACCATCTGTTGAAGAGACTGTCCTTTACCCTTTCTGTGATCTTGGCAGCTTTATCAAAGATCTACTAACTATATATGTGTGGGTTTATTTCTGGGCTGTCTATTCTGTTACGTTGCTCTGTATGTCTGTCTTTATGCTAGTATTATACAGTTCTAATCACTATAGCTCTGTTTATTATTAATAGTTCTAACTTTTTTGTGGAGTATTTAAAGGTTTTCTATATGCAAATTGTGTCATTTGCAAACAGAGATAATTTACTTTTTCCTTTATGATTTGAATACTTTATTTTTGTTGTCTAATTACTCCAGCTAGAACATTCAGTATGATGTCAAATCTAAGTGGCAAGAGTGAACATTCTTGTTTTGTTTTTCCCAATTGAGTATGATGTTAGCTGTGGACTTGTCATATATGACCTTTACTACATTGAAGTAAATTCCTTTTACATCTAGTTTGTTGAGAGTTTTAATCATGAAATGGTTGAATTTTGTCAAATGATTTTTCTTTATCTATTAAGATGATCATGTGATTTTTATCCTTTATTTTGTTAATGTGGTATATATCACATTAATTGACTTGCATACATTGAACCACATACCACTCTTTATGGTTATATTTCTCCTGATTAAAGAGCCAGTCGAAGTTTATAAGTTACATTTAGCTATTAAATCTCCTTAGTTTGTCCTAGTGCATAACAGTTTTCCATCCTCCAAAGGGTCTAGTTTAAGAATGATCAACAGAGGGGAGGAGCCAAGATGGCGGAGGAATAGGACGGGGAGACCACTTTCTCCCCTACAAATTCATCGAAAGAACAATTGAACGCTGAGCAAATTTCACAAAACAACTTCTGATCGCTAGCAGAGGACATCAGGCGCCCAGAAAAGCAGCCCATTGTCTTCGAAGGGAGGTAGGACAAAATATAAAAGGTAAAAAGAGAGACAAAAGAGCTAGGGACAGAGACCCGTCCCGGGAAGGGAGTCTTAATAGAGGAAGTTTCCAAACACCAGGAAACCCTCGCACTGGCGGGTGTGGGGGAAGTTTTCGAATCTTGGAGGGCAACCTAACTGGGAGGACAAATTAAATAAGGCCCACAGATTACGTGCCTGAAAGCAACTCCCAGCAGAAAAGTACCCCAGACGCCCGCATCCGCCACCAGCAAGTGGGGGCGGAACGGAGAGGAGCGGGCGGCATTGCTTAGGGTAAGGACCGGGCCCGAAGGCCCTGAGAGCAATCGGAGGGAGCTTTTTAAAACTGTGGGAGAGGAAGAGAGAAAATTAACCGGCCCGAACACACTGCTGGCCGTTTGCAAAACAAAGGGACTGAGAAACTCCAGAGAAGAGCTAGCCTGTGGTGGACTGGCCCATCCCTGCCGGAGGTAGGAGGCAGGAGGAAAGGGGCAAACTCGGCCCCAGAGATGGCACCCCCTCCCACACTGCAAACAGGCCTCCAGTTTCTATCCAAAGACTCCCTGAGATTCTGGATGGTTGACATCCACCGCCGGGAGGGTCGCGGCTAGAGGCCAGCTCCTGAGAACAAACACAAGCTGCTGGCACCCGACCGGCGCACACAGAATCTGAGGCTGGGGCTGCGGAGGGGAGAGGGCACGCCGCACCCGGGGAGAGTGCGCCCGTCAAGCTCCTGGCTGCCTGAGCCGCTCAGGCAGGGGAAGGCACAAAACGCAGGCTCAACCAAGTCTGCGCTTTTGTGGAGTACCCGAAAACTGGAACCACATGCAATGCAGGGCACGCTCCCTACAGAGCAGCCGGGAGCCTGAGCAGTGTAGATGGGGAAAGCACAGACACCCATGAGCGGGGCAAACCCAGTGTGGCCGGAACACGGTGAGTGCTACCCACACACAGCGATATCTGTCTGCAGCGCCCCGCCCTCCCCGTAGCAGGACTGAACTGAACTAGCGAACATAAATAAGAGATCACCTCCGCCCGCCTGTGTCAGG